TTCTGGAAAAGCCTGGCATTTTAATTACAATTGATTCTATCATCAACTACTGGTTTGGCTCATCATTTGCAGCTTTGAAAAATAATGTGCATAATAGTAGCATTAAACTACTTTCCTTTCCAGAGCAAAAACTGGCAGATAAGGAAAAGTAGGCATCTGTAGAAATTGTACATTATTTCAATGGCTTAAAATGCTGAAAGTTATAATCAACACACTTGATACTGCTTTGATTTTTTTTGTTCACAATATACTTCAAAGGCCAGAAGAGCTACAGACCCGATCACATCTTCTAGCATTTCTCTGTGGGAATGGGTTCTTCATCTCCCTTTAGAAAGTATGCATACATTAAATCATACTTTTTAATTACTCCCAGACTGAGAAAGCTTGGATCATACAAATGTATCTGCCATCTTAAGGTTTCCACAGTTGCATGTTGGATAGAATAAGGAAAGCTGTCATTGACAGAAGGATCTGTAGATTGGCAAAAGGAAAAGTTAACATTCTAAATTAAAACCAGTCCCAAAACGTTAGCAAAAGGTTCCAACTTGTTCAGGGGACTTCAGTCGACTTCTGCCCAGTCTGTCATGGTACTTGTTTTGTCCATAAGCACCAAAGTAAGAAGACTTAAGCATTTGTCCAGAATCACCGCACATAGTCCATTCTCAAATTCTACTCCGCAGATCACTTACAAGTTTCTCAAATTCTCTCTAATTCAAATCACCAGGAAAAAAAAAGCTAATCTTCATTCACACTTTTGCATAGTTTGGCGTTTTCTGGAGTCGTGCTTTTGTTTTCTTTCATAGCTTTTGAGGGGACTCATCTGTCACATATGCAAGTACTTCCAGTCTAAATCCTTCAGGAGAAAAACTGAGTCCCCCTTATGCAGCAAGCTGTCCAGGACTGTTTACCATTCTTCTTCGAAATAAAAGTTAACATTACTCATTTTTATCTGTGCTTTCAGATTTTTCCCTTTGCATCATGCAGCGACGAACTATGCTGTCAAAACTTCCTAGGTAAAACAGGCCAATGATGCGAAAAATGCCCATGCAAACAACCTGGAAACAGAGAGAAACACCTTTCAATTCATTTAAGATCCCAGATTGCAACATATTATTTATCTGTGAAATAAAAAAAGTTCCAGGCAGGTATGCTACATAACCTCAAGAAAAACTCAGGAAAACCATCATAAACATGTAACCGTTCCAGACTGAGCAGCAGGCAGCAGTCTTAGCTTTCCCACCAACTTGCTGCTTCAGCTAGAAAATACTACTTCAGTTTCCTAAACCCAAGTCTCCACAGTATTAACAGCCATTTGATGAAAAATAATTAATGTTTGCATAGTGCTCTACATTTTAAAGTATTCTAAACTATAAGAACTTGCGACTATGAGGCCTTCCCAAATCTTACCTGCTGAAGACCTTCAGTAATAGAAGTGACTGGTGACATTCCACTTGTCAATATTGATAGCATGTAACCATCTGATCCAACTGAGCTGTTAAAGTTCCCTTGCTGGATGGAAGGAAAACAGCGATTAAGGAAAAAAAAATTATTTACCCAGTTGTGGCAAATCATGATGTGTCTGTCTTCAACAGCTATTCTTGCTGAACATAGCTGACTGATGTGGAAAAAAAAAACTAATCAACACAATTAAAAATAAAAATATTCAAAAATATTTTGTGCTATACAGCAACATTCCAAAATTACTGCAGATTTCATTACAAGATAGAAAAGCTTTAAATTTCTTCTTGAAGTATGCTTACTGATGGAGAAAATGCATGATGGTCTCCCCATCTGTAAATATATTTCAGACACAATTACACCTTAACTCTGTCAAATGACCAATCACTACTATAATTGTAGAATAAAATACTGCTTGCCTTTGGTTAAAATTGGTTTATTATCACATGAGATTTGGCTGGGGGATATATTTTCAAATGCTAGGTAACAGGTCCTCCTTCCTCTACATCAAGGATTTTTAACTCCTCAAACCCGTGAGATTCACAGCCTGCTAAGCAATTCAGCTGGCAGACAAGGGGGGACAAACACCAGAAAAAAGTTGTTTGTTTGGCTGGTTTTTGACCACTCATCAGGAAAATTGCAGCTCTATAGCTGACTCCCATGCTTATCCCATTTGTTTCCAGCAGACTTTATGCTGGAAAACAGACGTCCTGAAATGCTGCAGGACTAAACTTAATGGAATGCAGAAGTTAAAGGAGAAGGTGGTGTTCCTGAATCATCAGGGTTAGGAGTGAATCTCTGCGAAGCAGTAGGGGATAAAAGATTTGGTTGAGTTATTTCCCAACATGCACCTGAGAGGACTGCGAGTTTCTTCACTACACAGCTGCCTTTAATTTCTATTTTAGTTTCTCAACTGATGGCTTGAGTGCATAAAGACCATGTCTGAACTAACATATCATCCAAAGTGCTGGAAACCATGGTGTAGATATACCAAATGCTTAAGATTGGAGACAAGATTAGCTTTCCTTAAGCACCAAAGCAGAATACTATATGAGGTAGTACTTGCTTGCAAAACTCACAACCCCAACACCAGACATAATTTTGTGTTTATGTGCTGTATTTGTGAAAATACTGTAACAGTTTCACAATTTAACACCTGCTGTAGATGTAAATCATGTTGAAGACCAAAAGTATTTGGAACTGTAAAACAATTATATATTTTAGGATTCAGTCGCTGTGCTTTATGAAGATGAAATTTCATGTTTCTTTCCATTCTGAGGTGCTTTATTAAGCATCCAAGCATTCCATAGCACAAAACATTAAAAAAAAGCCTCAGAAAGGCAATACACCTTTAACCACCAAGAACAGCATTTTATGTATTTTCATCACTCATAAATCACATACTTTAGACATTAAAAGCCAAAAAGGCTAGACTGCCTTCATTTATTTTAAAATTATTTTTTATGAACTCATCTTCAAGAAAAATAAGACAGTCCAACGTGCTTTTGAGGTTAGACAAATGGCATTTAATACATAAAGTCAATAGAGTTTAGTGCTTTAAAGTCAGTCATAATCTGCCTTTGAGACATTGCATCATACCGATGCATCATTTTGTTCTGTCTAATGTACAACTTCAGATACTTTTTAGTTCCAAGAGACTGTATAAAATCATTTGTGGGCAAAGTGGCAAAAGAAGAATAAAGAAAATACAAAGAGCACTGTTTTGTGTAAATTAATTTTGCATTTAGCTTAGCCATTGTCTTATAATCTTAAACAAGCATTGCATGTGATCCTAGTCTCTCCAACAAAGAACATACTTTAAAAAGACAGATTACTTACTATCGCATCTTTGACTATAACTCTGGCGACTTGTTCTGCTTGGCAAACAGATGAGGTTTCAGAAATTAGCTTCGTCTCTAAGGGCTTTAGTAGAAAAACACCAATATAAGTTTGACTAACAACACACAGATAAAAATATGAAGGTCAAATTCTGGGTTTAGGCCTTTTGTCATGGATGATATCACTGTTACCAAGTAGCTTCATGCTGTGACCTAAAAAATCCACTTAAAGGCAAAAACACCTCCGTAAATAATAGACTGATTTTATGAAATGCCAACTTTTCCTTGAGTAGTAATTTTTTTTTCATATTTTATTAGTTAGAAACTATAAAAAAGTGTTCCCCCCAAGTATTTTCCGTAGAAGTTGTCAAAATGCTTCAACACCTGTATTAGTTCATTTATGGTTTTTTTGCCAGAAATGAAGCAAAAGATAGGCCTGAAATATTTTAATATCGCACAAAACAACCTTTTTTTTTTTTAATTTCTCAAACTCCACACACTAGTATCCAAAATCCATCACTGCATTTTATTTCTTTGTGTTTTAGAGCATTTATGCCACCTTACGTCACCAGGAGAATGCAACTATGGCAGTTATTTTAGCAATCACAATTTCTTTCAATAAAAAAAACCCAACCAAACAAGTCCAGTCTGTTACAAAAACAATGGGCAAAAATATGCTTTAAAATATTTAGAATCATGTCTGTCATTCATGTCCTTTTAACAAATAAAACAATGATGGAGCCAACTGCACAGCAAGCTATTTAAATGCTCAACATGTTAAGATAGATGGTTCTGTTAATGAAGAAAAAACAATGCTAAATTAGGGAGAAAAAGAGTACATGGTTACAAGTCAATTTGTAATGGCTAATTCGGTTACATTTAATTCCAAAATCTAATTGAAGAATTCAAGCCTAGTCAAATACTGGGACTAGTTTAATTCCAAGATTAATACTTTAAAAAAGCACTTCTAGACTACAGGTTTCTCTCTCGTTATCAATCCAAAGTACTACAGAAATTAAATTTCACAGAAACAGGTCTATTTCAAATATCTGTAGAATTATGAATCCTAATTTCACTGACCAGGCTCACTGAAATTTTGTGGGTTTTTTCAGTATGTGTATTTTAAGGGGGGCAGGAGGAATCGGTGTCTTTGCCAGCAGAAATCACATACAAACACCCTTTACATGCTGTCCTACAATGATATGGCTTACGTCATCGGATCTCCATCTCATAACCCCTATGTACTTTTGAGCTTACTGGCCAGTATCAACCAAATCTGAAAGAGATATAGGGATGCCAACAGTAATTCAAATACTACAAGTTTGGGAAAAAAATAGCAGCTGCTCAGGAGCAACAGCTAAAATTAATAACGTATTGTGAAAAAGACAGGCAGAAATTGGCCATTAAATACTTTATCTGGCTATTTAGCCAGCCAAAGCACGGTTGTCATTTGTAAAGCAGTTACCTCAAAAAACAAACAAAAAAAAGCTTAATGATTAAATACAGGAAAGCTGTATCCTAGTTCCTGACATTTTCTTTTACTGTATTCAATGATTACAAACAGCCTAGACCTACAGATGCAAGCTAAGGAGACAGATGTTCTAAACTAAATAGCATTAAAGAAATACAGCAATAATGAGTATCTGAACAGTAAAAGCAATGCAGTATTGCAGAGATTTAAGGTGCACTATCACGATAGGAGCAAGTCACCTGAAGACTTCATGTATGCTAAAGCAAAGCACAAGTCTTATCTTAAAAGACAAAACCTTTTTGACAAGTAAGAGAAATCTTAGATGGATAGTGCATTTTGCTGGTGACTATTTCCCTGAAATAGGCTACTACAAAAAAAAATAAAAAATCCCAGAGAATATGCAAGCTATACTAGTATCTGCAAATGTCTGATTTGGCACTTTATGAGTATGTGTGGGAGTATGCATTTAATACAGAATACCTATATCAAGAAATGATGAAGTAAGAATTGTGTTATACAATCCCTACCGACTCCTATCTGAAGAGTGAAAGACAAAATGGAATTCAACGTCAGTTTCCTATTATATCTGATGGGGCATCTTGAAAAGGCTGATCTTCTTAGATACCAGGTTTCTAGTTCACAGTATGCAAGTAAAAAATAGACACCTTTTTCTCTGGTCACCTGATACTTCGGTCTGAACTGGGGGCCTGAATAGTTTTTTTGAATTATACTTCATATGCACAGACATGGCAAATGATGAGAGGCAACTAAATTTTTGAGGGTCAAAACTTTCACTTTCAAGGTAAGCCAAATAAAGAAGGTCTACTGCTGACAAATCCTTCTGAAAAGTGATACTTGCCACTTGCAGTCCAAACACAATGCAAGAGAGTTTCCGTCCTACTTTAATACCAGACAACCACCACTATTAAATTGTGTCATTACATATAGTCAAACAGCATGGTTAGTTTGCAGACTTCACTGAAAGAACTGAGGTTTATTTCGATCTGTCACATTTATCAGAACAACCACTGATTATCAAAGACACAAAATAGGAATATTATTTTTAGTTCATTAAGCTTTGATATCAAAACAAATAGTGGGTTTACATTTTACCATTCCACAACAGTATTTTGATTGCGTACAGAAAGACTTTGCAGTATTTCAGACACTAAAGGCAGGTAGTTCTTCCATTTAAAGCCAGAACAATAAACTACACAAAATTATCCTTCTAGCTATTTAACTCTGACTAGTTAAGTTGATAAAATTGAAGTGTTTTGAAGTACTTCTTAAAATCTTAATACGCACTGATTTCAACAGTACTACTGAAGTGAATGAAATCTGAAATGCATTGCTTACTGCAAAGTGAAGCTTCAATAACATTACAGTATTACTGAAGAACAGTTTACCTTTGTTTTACTTTCTTCTGCAAAGCCAGGTGTATCCGTATCTGGAGGATAGGCCACCGTTATGTAGATATTATAAGGTTTTACCTGTATTTTACAAAAGTAAGTATTATCTTAATATCAACAGCCGTTACATGTCCCTCAGAACTTAATTTCTCTTGTACCGAAGAAATAGATCAAGCATGAATTTAAATTGCTTCTAGTGTTTAGTCACCCTCATATTCAGCACTTGCAAGACTTGGAGCTTTGTCAAATAAGAAAGCAAAACAGCAAAGAGTAAGAGATGGTTGTGTTTTGCTTAATAAAAATATCTTTAAAACTTTGCATTTGATGTAAATTATTTGATAAATTTAAGTGTTATGACATTTAGGAGGAATGTGGAAGTAGTTTAGCTCTCTACTTTTACCAGTTTCAATTTAAAAATTAAAAAAGACTAAACCATTGCCAAACATCAGTACCCAGCATTCATAAACACAAGGCCAAAAAGACTTTCACTAAGGCTTATTAGCATCCTTTTTTGTTGTTCACGTCAACATATTTTCACTGCTGGACAAATATGAGGAAAACAAAACAACAAAATTTTAAAACTCAAATTTGATATCTTTAAGAAATATACTCAAATCACAAGGCTTTTCAACCCATGGTATAAACTTGCAAGGGATCAAAATCCAGAGAGAAAAAAATAAATAGAAAGTGTGAGGAAAAATGGAAGGCCTCATGTCAAGGATTGCATTTAGTTATGTATTTGTATGTACGTGTCATAGAATTACATCACTTACTGGACTACTATAATGCAAATCTGTACAAACATTCTATGTTGAAAACACTTACTGAAATATCACATCACAGGTCCATAAATGCCCTATTTTTAGTTTTGAAGAATTCGGTCAAATCATATATCATATTCAAAAAATATCTGTCACCAATCTGAACAAAGACCCTGCAGTCACATTGCTCTAATTGGCAGGCCAGAAGTGATGAGAGGCAGTTTTACCTCCCATCCTTATCCCAATCCAGGCATACATTGAACAGAACAAGGCAAAACCAGAGACTATGCAAGGGTCTAGAACCAAATGGAGACACAATATATAAACACTTAAGAACTAAAGCCTACATTCTTAACAAAAGAATAAGGGAAGCAATTCTCAAATCCATTTTACCTGCCTTACTACGATGTACTTACCAATCTTGTTCCACTAAATAACGAAAACATTGTTTTTTAGTTCTGACTTAAGCATAGCTTAGAACACTGCACTATAAAAAGCTCATATATACCAAAATTTAGAAGGGTAAACCACTGTCAGCTTTTTTTTGTGGACAATCCTCAAATTCTATCTGGCAATTTTTACATACCACTTACTGTGGCCTCACAAACAAGCTGGGAACCACCGGCCTGCCATTCCTGCATCCATGGGATCTTCAATCCCATGCTGCACTTACAGCCTGGAAAAAGACTTTTCTCAAAAGACTTAAAATCCAAGTCCTTTTAGTTAAAATAAAAGATTAAAAAAAAAAAAGTCTGAACATGTCATCTTCAGTTCTAGGAACAGATTCAATCTATTCCCTCTTATGCAACTGAAATCAGCTTAGTTTCTGCAACCCCATGCAGAGCAATAGGATTGTACTGCTGCCAAAAAAAGGGCCAACATAGCACACGTATCAGTAGTGCTGCTCAACACAAAAAGAGAACTATTTAAATGAAAATGTGTTGCGCTGCTAGTTAAAAAAACCTATTTTTCTTTAAAAACAAAAACACTTAATTATTGCACACATACCTCCATTTGCAGGGCTTCCGCCAACCCTCGAAGAGCAAACTTTGTTGGAGAATAAGCTGTATAGCCAAATAGACCTAATTGCCCAGCCTGAGATGATACAAACACAATCCTTCCCATTCTTCGTTCCTTCATGGTAGCAATTACTGCTCGACTTGGGTAAACACTGCCCAGATAATTGACTGCCATTAATCTCTGTACAAACGATATTAACATGGTAGTTGAGTCATAGATTCAGAATCCTTCAGCTGTTTGGTATTACTTAGCAAAATCCCCTATTTCAGTCTGCTTTAACAATGAATTTCACTAGATCTGTAGTTCTATCAGCTGGCAAAGAAACAACTGTGTTCTGTTCTACAGCTTCATAAACTGTTTAAAGCTAAAAATCTCACTTCAAGCCAAAAGAAATGCAGTCTACCTACAAGTCTCAATAGCATCCAGGATGCTGATAATACTACAAACCGTATGACCTTCAAGGAAAAAAGAATATACGAGGGAAAATCTAACCTAAACAGTGTCCAGGAAGCAATCCATTTACACATGACGTATGAAAACATACCGAAATGAAAGTTTCAAGATCTTTCTCAAACAGGAAACAGGAAAAATTCTATGTATTTATGCCTTTCAGAGATTTAAATCGTTGATGGATAAGGGGAAGTCTTTAATTTCACTCTCTTGAAGGCCTAAAACATAATTGATAGCCTATACAAGCAACAGAATGGATGATTCAAATTTATTATAAAATTATGCCTATTTAGTCTTTTCAGATGATTCACTTTACCTGTAGATGCTATATATAGACTGGGGACCTGAGGACTGTGGGTATAAAGTAACCAAAATACAAGGGTTTGGGGTAGATTTTTTGTCTTTTCATCAGAGCAGCAGCTTCTCAAGCTGCAAACAATTTGTGCACCTCAGTTTTTCTTAAAGAGCTTAAAAATATTAATAAAAAAATCCACAACAAACTTCACCAGAAAAAAAATTGAGACCATGTGAAATTCAGTGCTTTTCACAGCACATTAAACTGTAAAAATACATGCCAGGCTTTTTTGCCATCTTGAGGACTCTTTCTATCCCAAAGGGAGAATTCACTGTTCTGACCCGACAACGGACCAATAGCTAGGTGAGAAATTAGAGGCAATCCTTGCAAATCTAGAGATACATTCTAATTCTGACAGCTACCACAAATCAAGTGTATCGCTACTCATACAAAGTCTGCCACGACACAGGGATGCAATCTAATTGTTAAAATGGCTGAATAAGAAGTGATCATGTAATAAAATAAAAAAGTATGCTCACTCACTTCAAAAGAATTCACTTCAATATCTTCAAATTTTCCTGTAACTGATGTTCCTGCACAGTTTACAAGCATGTCAACTGGCCCCAGCTTCTCCTGAGCCTGAAAGAGGGGAGAGAGGTTAAGATATTCTTCACAAGGAAAAAAAAAAAAAAAAATCTTCCTATAGAATAGTATCATTAAAAGAAACTACTTCCATTAGAAATATGCCACACGTAGATAAGCTTCTTAAGATATATAGATAAATCAGTTACTTCCTCACCTGTTTTAGAACATTCTCCACCTGTTCGTAGTCTTTAGATACATCAACAGAAATACATAGTACAACCTAGGAAAGTAAGAACATTTTTACAACAAAGTCAGTCCAGTAACTGTTGACTCCGAGCCTTTCAAAAATGAAACAAAACCCAATGACATATCTTTTCCAGGAAAACAAGAAGTCTTTTTGACAGGACAGTTTGCACTTCTCCCACACTACATAAAGCAATCCCCACTATGACTTAGTTAGAATAGTTGTTACTAAACTTTATTTAAATAAGGCAGTCAAAATTCCACAGTGCTACATTTAACTTTCATCAGCACTAAACACAGGTCCAACCATTTGTGTGGCTTAGGCTTATTTTTAAGAAAAAACATTTTTTTCCCCACATCATAGAAATGCATGGTTGCAGAGTGTTTCTCTGAAACTGCAGCATCAGCACTGCAAAAAAACCCTATTCCAACATTTATAAAGCAAGTGTTAAAAACCTGTAAACTTTAGTACTAGCATTGCATGATACTCACTTCATAAAATTTTGAAGAATAGTAGTAAACTTGGTTGCATACTGTTTAACTGGGACATGACAAGGACAAAACTAAAATAAAAATTCTATGAGAAACTGACTAGCTGTAGAGTATCATGAATATCTAAAAAGTGAAGTAATGTGTATATGTTTACTCCTTGTCTGGAAACCAAAGATTATGGGGTTTAGGTTGAAAGATACAGAAAATTGAAAATAAGCATTGGCCTGGGGGAGGAGGCAGGCAGGACAGGATGACAAAAAACAGATGACAGCGATATCTAAGTTTTGTTGCAGCT